ATAATAAGAGATAAATACTCACGAAAGTAACAAAACAGATATGACGTTGCAAGTCTTCCATTCACGAAGAACTGAGTCAATGAAAGAATCCCAATTTCTTCTCAAGTTCACGATTGAAGAATACCGATCATCTTGAAGATTGTATACACTAATACTATAGGGTAATCCGTCGCCGAGGTCAGTCTTTGCCTCGACTTCTTTCGCCAATTGTTTCATTTGGAGAAGACCAAGGTTTGCGTCGTTAAATATCCTTGCTACACGCGAGAAATATAGAGCGGGGATACGAAGCAATATATGGAGGTATATCTGCCTAGGTATCGTATCTAATAAGAACGCAGATATGTAGGTTGTCAGAGGCTCTTTCGAGAGAGACAAACCGGCTGAAAGTGCGATTTGAGATGGTACAGCACCTCGAATGCTATAAGCGATGGAGGCTGAATAAGGATTCACAGCAAGATACGCATCATCTTGATGATTGTCGTGTCCATCAGACCAAGTATTCGTCGGTGATCTTAACGGAAATTGCATGTCTGCAGGTGACATTGAAGGAACGAAGGTGTCGGGAGCTGCTGCCCTTGTCGGAGGAACAGTTTGTCGACTCTCTACGATCGATTGCTGCCTAGAGCTTTGTTGTGACCGTGACCGAGAACGATGAATCCGTATAGGTGAATCTATGAATATAGTACGAGGTGGTGATCGAGAAAAAAAATGTCTAGACCTTGACCGTCGGTGCTGTCTCGGGATAGATATGATACTAGGTTGGGGAGATCTAGATCGCGAACGAGAACGCGGAGGGGTAACAATTGTAATTGGCCTCGGCGGAGACCTTGACCTTGACCTTCGGCTGGATCGGTGCCGGTAGTGTGCACGGGAGGGAGGCCTGACTGGAACTGGAGGCGATCGCGATCTAGATCTCGAGCTGGATGTTAACCCTCGGGCTATTATTTGACTGTCTTGAGCTGCACCACTGATTGCGAATGGCGATTGGATAATGATCCTTTTAGGTATCGAACTTGTCCATGAAGCAAGCTGAGTGAAATAACGTCGATAACCTGATCTTGTCTGCGAAGGTACTGGCGGAGCAACGACGGTGGAATTTGAGCTCAATCTGCTGCGATGACGAGAGCTTGCTATGTTGTGATAGGTCGATATGCTGCGAGGACGAAAGCTCGGTCTGCTACGATGTGTGTAGGATCTATCAGAACGTGGACTGTCAACCCGAGGGATAAAAATCCTCGGAAGTGGGGAATGGGATCGCGAACGGGGAGGTGGTGGTAAAATTGTTATGGATTGTTGTCTGTGTGATCTTCCTCTCGAACGCGAGCGCCGACGACCTTGTACTATTATACTAGGTCGCTGTGGTGAATATGACCGGGAACGGGAACGTTGACCACCTGCTGCTATTATTGGTGAGCGTCCGCGTGAACTCGAACTCGAACTGGCATGCCGACGACGTCTCTGTGGTAAATATGACCGTGGACGTGAACGGGAACGTTGACCACCTGCTACTATTATTGGACGTGAGCGTGAACGCGAACGCGAACGCGGGCTATCTTGTACTATAATAGGTCGTTGAGGGGAGTATGATCGTAAACGCGAAAGCGGCTGTATTATTGTGGGTTGTGGTGAGTATGTCCGTCCGCGTGAACGTGAACGGGGACGATGAGCTGGTATTGTTATGGGTGAGTATTCTCGGCCTCGTGAATGCGAACGGGAGTGCCCTTGTATTTTTATACGTTGTGAAGGAGGTGAATGGCGTGGGCTTCGAGAATGGGCGTGACCAGTCTCTGCGACATAATAATATGGCGAGGATGAACGATAAGTGTTGGGGGGTTGAACCAACAGGTCTTCAGCAGAATAATCACTGGCAGGCGCTATTTGTATCTGAGAATGTCGAGAACGAGAAAGAGACCGTGAACGTCCTCGAGAGCTGTACGGGTGTGATTGAATAAGGACTTGGCGTTGTGCAGGATAGTCACTGTAAATCATTGTGCGAGGTCGTGAAGAGGATCGCGAACGCGAATCATGATGGACACGTTTTCCTATTACTATTGGAGAACGGCCACGTGCACTTGGCGCATGAACAATGACTGTGTGACGTTGTGGTGAAGGGGAGGGTGAACCTGAATATATCACGCTAGAAGGATATCCTTTGTATCGTTCGGGCGAACGAGAACGAGAACGAGAACGAGAACGGGAATGGGAATGGGCACGGGAACCCCAGATATTCGGGGACTGGACGATGATTGGTGAAGAGGTTTGTCCACTTGTATGCCTAATAGGTACTCTATCCATTTCACGAGAACGCGAACGTGGACTTCGAATAACTTGAATTGGCTGGACTGGAGTAGATATTCGGCGAGGAAGATCTGACATTTGGGTCCTCATCCTAGGGCGAACAGCAGTGAAGGTGTCATGAGAAGGAATAGATACTTTATCCATTTCACGAGAACGCGAACGCGAACGTGAACGAGGACGTGGACGTGGAATAACGAAGATTGGCTGGACTGGAGTAGGTAGTCGGGGAGGAGATGGTGATGGTGATGGTGAGCCAAATGAGATGTTATCTGATATTTCCATCCTACCCATCGGCATTCTTGTTGGAGATGATAGGCCACGAGGACGAAATGAAGTGAAGCCGTCCTCAGAAGGAGTACCAGGACGACCCCTAGGTATAACTTCCTCTGATGGTTCAGAATCGACACTTCCTCGGGACATTTCGCTGCTTTCTGACGCTTCTGACGCCATGTCGGTGTCAAAGCTTGCTGGACGAATTATTACAGGCTCGAAACTTTCAGTATCCTGCCTGATATCCGTTTCATGGATGCCTTGAATAGAAGGCTCGACGACTCGTATGCCAGGATGGAAATAGGGAGCCCCCCTCCTTGTCGTACGATTTGGTATGGAGCGTCTGGATGGATAATCATCCGGGACGGGAGAGGCCGAACCGGGGATAGGAGATGGTGATCGACGAAGTTCTCGAAGATAAATTGGCTGTGACGATGCCGGGATATAACCGTAGTTTGAACCTGAACCGTATCTATCAAATTCTGGCTCTTCTCGCAAATAATGGCGAGAATGACGAGAATCGTCAATGATGACAGGGGTGCCGTCGATTGTATAATATACTGTAGGATGGTGAGAACGGGCTGAAGGTTGTCTTTCTCTGAAAGGAAATAAGCTCGAGTATAAACATTTAGTGTTGAATTGGTACTTGCCTGTGATTTACATCGTTTATATAGTCCGAGCTAGATTGTAAATTGACCGCAGGAACTGTGCCATGTTGAGAGATATATCTGCTATGACGCTCTCTATCGCTATCTTCCCTGTCTCTGTGTCTCTCTTGAATAGCCGTAGGTACGGGTGTGGTTATTTGGGTGCTATCTGAGCGACGGGACCGAAAGGTGTCTCGTCTAGGACGCTCATCTTGCTGAAATTCAAGTGGTTAGATACATATATTTGCGTGAGACGTATGACAAACGGTAATGCGATGGCTCCGCGAGATGGAAGAACGCGGCGTAGGTTGCTGTTGTGGTGGAGGGCGCTCTCTTTCAGAATTTGCACTGGTTTTCTTCGAAGTTTGTCGGCGAGTAACTGTTTCATCCGGCGAATAGACATCGTCGTGACCGCTGAAATGAACTGCCCGGCGCGATTGTGACGTTCCCGCCCTGTCCACCTGTGTAGGGTCGCGCAGTGCAGATATAGGTGTAGGTGCAGCGGGTGTCTAACAGACGGAGGAAAAGTTAGCTCATGAACCTCTGAAATTGACCAACGAAGAAGTCACATTGCTCGTAGACGTTCGGTGGGCGGCGTTGCTTCGACCTTGCTTTTGAGGATAAGCTGCATGTAACCACGCGTCAGATTGTACATATGGATAACTGATCCAATAAAATACCTTTAGACATTGCAGGTTGCTGCGTAGGAGGATCGTTGTGATGTGTACTTGGTGAACGAGCAGAGCAAATACTACCACGGCGTTCAAACTCCGCATTGGGCAAATCAGGGCGGCCAGTGCCGATGTATTCTGATGGCAATAGCTTGGCACATATTGAGACACAGCCTGACACAGCTTGAGTTGACAGGGATCAGCCGAATTCAGGTATCGAAGCATTCCTCCCAGCCGTTCTGCTCCCACCTGCAAAAGATTCAGATACGTTTGTAAAGTTGACTGAAGAATCAAAACTTTGAAAAGAAAAAAATCAACGATAAAGTAATCTGGCTCAAATGCAGGTAAAGAAAGTAAATAAAGCTATAAAAAGCAGCAGCTGAAGGATCCGCCGTTTTGTCCTGCTGATATTTATATCCGGACTGCCGTGAACCTGTGTCAATAACAAGTTCATCGGAGATAACATTACTCGTCTGGTATCAGCTGGTAGGCTGAATTGCCCTCAAGCATCCCACGTTCAATAAGGAAAGCTGTGTTTGGAGAGTGGTGTTGAATAGGTGAGTTATCTGGAATGTTTCAGATTGAGGTCCTCCAGATCACTGGGCTCGAGTCTGTCAATTAACCTTCATGTTTTGTTAATATCGAAAGTAAGATAATATTAGACGTCAATTCGATGAGGAGCTCTGAATTTTACAGAATGGTAGAAAATATTGCTAAAGGAATCTGGGGAGCCTAGCCGGCACACAGCCTCGTGAAACTTCCTATGCTGTAACGCGAGTGGAACCTCAACGAAATCTACTCCGTTTCATATAACCTTCCAATATTATATCGAGTATTTATAGAAATATCCCACCTGCGTAACGAGGATGTTCGGGCAGCGCAAAATGTTTAGGCGGAAATTATGTTGACATTAGACGGCCCAACACATCAACTGAGGGAAACGGGGTGCTTTGAGGATAATTTTGTATGTGTCAAGCAATCCGAGAGAAAAATCAAGGATGATAAAATAAGGTGGTGCGTAACCTTGTACAAATCTGACCAGATGAATCAGGATAATGGAAGGTACTAAAAGCTTAACGTACGGCCCCTTCTGTTCATGAAGGAAACAAAAGCTTGCTCCCTGCCAGGCTCGAACTGGCGACCTTTGGATCGCAGGTATAGTATACCTTCATAGCACATATGAGACCAACGCTCTACCAACTGAGCCAAGGAAGCTGGCTGTTCAGGAACGACAGCCTTGGTTCCCTCAGAGATTCGTCCCCGAGAGTAACTGCGATAGACTCGGATATTCGAATTTATGTGAGGCGATGGAGAGGTAACAATCAGTTGACTTGAAGTGGAGGAGGGAGAGGAGGAAGAGGAAGAGCCGGCATGGGTCTACTGAAGCATTGATCCGGGCGGAAGCATCTTTATTTGGTATCATGGGTTCAGAGGCGTCCACAGAGCCATCGCGGAAGCAAAAACAGGCATCTTCCCAGCGACATCCCATACCGGCCGCTCTCACTACGCTCTCTAATACCCACGATCATCCGCTTATATTGAATAAAGAATTTTATGGTACATATTCCTCCAACTTAAAACCTCCTAGGTAAGTATCACATCGTGCCCGGTCTTTCGACTATGATGAGTCATCAGCTATCATCGGACACCTTGCCTCCTATTTGCATCCAAATCGATTCCTCTCATGTAGCAGTGCAATTAAACGCGGTCTTTAATCATCAAATATCCGTCCACGCCTGTTCCGACCACTTCCTGGTACCGTCAGGAGTAACGGGTTGCCAACTTGCCATGTGGCCTTTTGGTTTTAAATAATTCAATCGTCATGTACGTTTCTGACCATATACTTTTCCACTGCGATGAATCCTTGATATTGAGAAACAGTGCTAGGATAAACAAGTTTCAGTGTAAATCCGAGCGGCCGGTATCCCCGAGATACAACTGTACATCAACTATCATACTTTCTTACGATGGGTTCAACTAAGCTGTACCCTAATACGATGCTCCACTATATCTGCCTTCAAACCGGGCCGGCTAAAATTCCATATTGATGAATTATAGCCATCATGTGTATGGTGCGATTAATGCCAAGGAAAAGAAGTCCAGCACGAGCGATTCAGATGGGCCTCTTGATGTACTTCTTACGAGGAAAGAAGGGCATGATTTCCTCATTGTGCATTGTGAGTACTATCTCTGGTTGTTCCTCGTCAATGGACAGTAGGCTTATTTATTACCCCGTTGTGGCGCAGATCTCCCCCGAATGCATGGTAGTCACGCTATGCCATGTCTCGCTCTTAGAGTAAGAAATAATTTGTCAATGCGCTATATCAAGGAACGCACGGACATTTTCTGATCCTATCTTCAAGTTCTGCCGCTACATGTAGTTTTCCATTTAAGCCAAGGTCAATTCTCGGCGAGCACCACACCGGCGCTGACCACATAAAGATACGCCTCTAAAAGCTACACATAGGCGATGTGTATTCAAAGTGGAGACCAGAAGGGATTTTTGCGGAGAGGTCTGCATCGTATCAGAACTTTAAAGTCGCTAACAAATTACAATACTCGTTAACCACTACTCCAGATACATAATGAATCTGGTCAATTGTCCAGCATTATCCCCGCAGGGGAACAATGTCCCTTCGACGCTGCCGTTGCTTCCCGTATGGTTGCGCTGTGGGTCCTTCCTAACTGGGAACGGGCGTTTTCCCTTTGTGGAGGCCGCGGTGGGGCTTAAACTAGAGCCATCTCCTGGCCCCACAGCCATATAGCCAATGACTGCAAAACAGCGCAACGCCGCGAGGCGGCGCTGTGGCTTCTGCGAAAACTCTCTAATGTGGCCTATCGCTCCGTTTGCCTTGTTGTTCTAGACTCACAGATAGCTGCTGATATATAGGAGGAATTCCTGTGTAGACCGACTACCAACTGGTTAGGAGCACTTCGCAGTGCAGTGTAGGAGTGGTGAGGTAGTAAACCAATGCAATGGTGGGGATATAAGATGTAATGGAAATTAAAGATCCAATCAACCCTCTTCCTGTACGTCTTCATAGACTTAGCAAAGAAAGGTCTTTTTGAGTCACAGAAGAGGTAATAAATTATATTTCCTGAAGTACAAGAGGTGCATTGTAAGTATGAATTATAAGATATACTAAATAAATAAATAAGTGAGGTCTACGACTAAGTAGAAAATATACAAAGGGCATTAGATCATAAACGTAAACCTATGCTCTCATTGCTCAATCCCTGCCAAAGGGGAAGACCTGAGTGCAGTTGTGCTCGGCGTGAACAGCTCCGAAAAGGAAACCCAAGTTCTTGTTAAGAGCCTTCCTGAGAACACCCTGGGGCCTGGGGTATTGTCCAGGAATGACACGGAGAACGATATCCTCGTAGATGCCGCAGAAGTCGGCGAGAGGAGGAGTCTGGGGCTGCAAGACGAAGTTGTTCTTGCCGTGGTTGACTCCGGGACTGAACGGGTGCTTGTCGAAAATCGCCTAAGTGAGGGGATCAACCATCGTGAAGTTGACTGGTGCTGGCTGACGGTGGAAGTCGGCAGGCATCATCTGGAAGTCGAAGAAATGACGAGCAGCATCAATGGTGAGTTGGCGGTTGTTGAGACGGCCATCGACGAAGAAGATGGTGGGGAAAACGGCCTCGGAGTAGGCGGAGATGATACGGGGAGAGGTGAAGACAAGTTGGGGGTTCGTCTTGATGGAGTCTTGCAGACGGTCGTTGCGGAGCTCGGCAGCGGCATTGATGTCATAGGTGCCGTTGAAACCGAACTTGGCTGAGGTAGCGATAAACTGTGAAGAAAAGGGTGAGCATGCTTTAGATAAATAAAAAAAGGGTGTTTGCCGTACCTTTTGGAATAGATCCTCGTTGAATACGGCTTGGTCACCGAAGAAAGCGTCAACACGCGTCATGCTGGTGTCACCTATGCGTAGTATGTTGGATGCAACTCGATGGAACAAATAAAGCGAAAGAATACCTTCGAAAGTTCCGTGCTGACTGAGACCACCGACCAATGCGGGCTTTGGTGGATCGGGACCGGTTCCAGGAGTCTTCATTCCGATACTCATCAAGTTGGTGAGTGGGTTTCCGTTCATCAAGAAGGCTTGGTAGGCTAAGAATTTAGCGAAATCATTTCCCAAGTTTAAGCCTATGACTCAAACGTTAGATTAAATTCCTCAAAGAACGGTGAATAAACTTACCTTCCATGACTGCGGTAACAATCTGATCGGGCCTAGCAACGCCACTTCTGGGAAGATACTAATATAATGTGAATATTATGGTTCAGTGAGCATATAATGATTTACTCACGCCATGAGAAGCGAGGGTATTCAACGCAGGGCAAGGGCCACGAATATCGGTAGGGCCAGCGGCGATGAAAGGGTGAGATGGGTTGTTAACCAACTTGATACTACCATCGGCCAATGGAAGAGGTGGGTTGGGGATTTCAGCAACACCGTGTCTAGCGATGTACTCGTTGATTTCCCTCTCGTTGAACCCAACGAGAGATTCATAGGAAGGAAGGGCCACTGCCAAACGGATAACAGCGATGAGGATGAGAGCAGAGAATTTAGCCATTTCTGGTACTAGTAGAATAGTAAAGTAGGGCTAGAGAAGTAGAGAGGGAATGAGAACGCTGAAGACGATATGGATGAAGAGCATTTTACTCCACCTTTTATATGATTCTATGTATTGCTGTGCTCATCCTAAATCTTCATTCAGAAACGAGGAGTAGCTTCGCGACAATCGAATCCACGGATAATGGTTCGATAAATAGACTCAGCGAGGGCAAACTCCCAGACTACCAATGAGATCGAATGGCTATGACCGAGTATCTTTTTGCCAAGGCTAGTGTATTAAATGCGCTTCCATTATGCGATATTGCTGATTTGCTGAGCTTGCTGGACCTCAGGGTTGCATTTGATCAGCATGTGCGAATTGACTGAAAACTCGCTGAAAGTGACCTCCTAACTCTGCATATCAGGTCCATCGAAAGTTTAGATCATGAACAGCAGTTCAGCGTCGCTAGGAGGTTGTGTGACATCGGCACTTGTTATTTGGTTCTTTTGTGCGACAGAAAAGTGTGCGTCTTTGGGTCCTACTAGTAGTTATGTCGACATTCAGGAGAACATTTGATAAGTATGTTAAAATACGCACTCTTAGAGAATAACGGTATATATAATCCTGTCTTGAAGTTAGCAATTTGTGACACCAAACAATGATAGCCGGCGCACCTGTATCTGCCAGATCACGGATGCAGTGCTCCTTCTATGACATTTTGTCTGTTTGCCTCTTTGCGAGCCTAGACCCGAGATCAGTCTCCCAATAAAAGTGTTGTAAACGATCATACATTTCAGTATGCACTTAATACCGTCTGCATTGGGGTCTTGGCAAGATCTCCTGCGTATCCCGACTCACCAGGCCACTAGTGTAAGGAGCTTCAGAGGTCCGAGCTGGTCCGAGAGTTGACAGCTCTACTTTAATTCGAGATCCAGACAAATGGAGCTATCTCATAGAACTTAATGAGTGCTTTGTTATGAAGTCGGTGGCCGTGCAGCACTGCGGTAGGAGGTAACAGCCTTGAACTATTCTGACAAGTTGGCGACTTACCTAAGTCTGTCCATAAATATCGCGGCGTTTTGATATCCCGGACCAATACGGTCTTCGACGATTCCAACCCGGCGTTCCGTTTCCCCGTTTCCTCCTCCTCTCCATTAGTTTTCAATTCAGTGTATATTTAAGCGCTGAACATCGCACTATGGGTTAAATGTAAAGAATTATCACACAATTATTTCTCCTCCATTTGTGTCACATTTCTGAGTACAGAATTCCCGATGACAAGAACGCCGCGATTGTACCAGGAAACTTGGGTTATATTGTAGGTGCCTTTGGAGATATTCGAACTCTAGATGTGTAGCCGTGTGACTCGCAAAGAAGAACATTATCGGCAATGCTCGGTGAACCGTGTGGTAAGGGGTAACAACATGATTGGGACATTTACAACTGAAGTTGGTTGCGATCACTACGTAAATTATTCGGTTCTTTGAGGCCGGTATGGAGACCTTTGCATGATTTCCTCATTGTGCATTGTGAGTACTATCTCCGGTTGTTCCTCGTCAATGGACACTAGGGTTATTTATGACCCCATTGTGGCGCAGATCTCCCCCGAATGCATGATAGTCACGCTATGCCATGTCTCGCACTTAGAGTAAGAA